AGGTGAACTGCGGAAACAGAAGACCAAAGCACATGTGCAGAGAGGAAGCTTCAAGATGGAAGGACTTTGGGCAATTTTCTCATCTTTTTTTCCCTTAGGGTCCCAGTATCATCTAGTATGTTCTGGGAAATTTGTTCTCTTGAGATAAGGTGTATGTATTGGCTAATATTGTTTTAATCTGGAAAATTACCAACTTACACAATCATGGCACTATGCTCATTGATTCAGTAATGCAGGAATCTGGAATTTGAAAGGGGCACAGTAGGAATGGTTTTTCTCTTCAACAAAAAGTCTGGGCCTCCCCTGGAAGGACTCCATAGCTAGAGGTGACTCAAAGGAAGAGACTTGCCCAAATTGCCATCAAAAATTGAAAATCATTTGCAAATCAAGAAGGGATCAGTGTTCAGTCTGGGTCCTGGTTCTACCACGACTGCCACGTGCACCAGATCCACAGAGAACCTTGCTGAAGCGACCCTTCCTCTGTGCTTATCCCTCCCATGACAGGGAATGATTGTATTAGGTTGTCACTATCTAATGTGACCCACTTTAGTACAACCTGGTGTATTAGTCTGTTTTCACGCTGCTATGAATGACTGCCTGAGACTGAGTAATTTATAAAGAAAAGAGATTTAATTGACTCACAGTTCTGCCTGGCTGGGGAGGCCTTAGAAAATTTATAATAATGGTGAAAGGGGAAGCAAATAGGTCCTTCTTCACATGATGGCAGTAAGGGTGAGTGCTGAGCAAAAGAGGGAAAAGCCCCTTATAAAATCATCAGATATTGTGAGAACTCACTATCAAAAGAAGAGCAAGGAGGTAACCATCCCCAAGATTCCCACCCCATGACACCTCCCACTGGGTCCCTCCCATGACATGTGGGAATTATGGGAACTACAATTCAAGATGAGATTTGGGTGGGGATACGGCCAAACCATATCATTCCGCCTCGGTCCCTCCCATGTCTTATATCCTCACATTTCAAGACACAATCATGCCTTTCCAACAGTCCCCCAAAATCTTAATTCATTCTAGCATTAACCCAAAGTCCAAGTCCAAAGTCTCATCTGAGGCAAGGTAAGTCCCTTTCCCATATGAACCTGAAAATTCAAAAGCAAGTTAGTTACTTCCTAGATACAATGGGGGTACAGGCATTGGGTAAATACACCCATTCCAAATGGGAGAAACTGGCCAAAACAAAAGGGCTACAGGCTCTATACAAGTTCAAAATCCAATAGGACAGTCATTAAACTTTAAAGGACCAAGATAATCTCTTTTGACTCCATGTCTCACATCCAGGTCACACGGATGCAAGATAGGCTCCCATAGCCTTGGGCAACTCCACCCCTGTGGCTTTGTAGGATATAGCCCCCTTCCTGGCTGCTTTCACAGGCTGGCATTGAGTGCTGCTTTTCCAGGTGCAAAGTACAAGCTGTCAGTGGATCCCCATCCTGGAGTCTGGAGGATGATGGCACTCTTCTCATACCTCCACTAGGCAGTGCCCCAGTGAGGCCTCTGTGTAGGGGCTCCACACCCACATTTCTGTTCCAAACTGCCCTCACAGAGGTTCTCCATGAGGGTTCTGCCCCTGCAGCAAAATTCTGCCAAGACAGTCAGGAGTTTCCAAACAATCTCTGTAATCTAAGCAGAGGTGCTCAAACCTCAATTCTTCACTTCTGTGCACCTATAGCCCCAACACTATGTGAAAGTCACCAAGGCTTGTGGCTTGCATCCTCAGAAGCAATAATCTGAGCTGTATGTTGGCCTCTCTTAGCCACAGCCAGAGCTGAATCTGCTGGAAGGCAGGGCACAAAATCCCTAGACTGCATACAGCCTAGGGGGGCCCTGGGCCCAGCCTAGGAAACCATTTTTTTCTCCCAGGCCTCTGGATCTGTGATGGAAGGGTCTAGCAGGAAAACCTCTGACATTCTCTGGGGGCATTTTCCCCATAGTCTTGGTGATTAATATTTGGTTCCTTATTATGCAAATTTCTGCAGCCAGCTTGCCTTTCTCCTCAGAAAATGGATTTTTCTTTGTTATCTAATCATCGGGCCGCAAATTTTTCAAACTTTTACGCTCTGCTTCCTCCACCACTGTGAAGCCATTGTTAGTGTATTACTTGCAAAGTTTTGAACTGAAGTGAAAGGGAATTGGAGGCTTCCAGGCTAAGCATTTAGATATTTGAGAGGATATTAACAATATTTGCCACTTAAAAATTCCTTCCGTCAGATACTCTAAATCATCACTCTGAAGTTCAAAGTTTCACAGGTCTCTAGGGCGGGGACAAAATGTCGCCAGTCTTTTTGCATAGCAAGGGTGACCTTTACTCCAGTTCCCAACAAGTTCTCATCTCTATCTGAGACTACCTCAGCCTAGACTTCATTGTCCATATCACTATCAGCATGTTGGTTAAAGCCGTTCAACAAGTCTCCAGGAATGTCCAAACTTTCTCACATTTTCCTATCTTCCTCTGAGCTCTCCAAACTGTTCCAACCTCTGCCTGTTGCCTAGTTTCAAAGTTGCTTCCACATTTTCGGGTATCCTTATAGCAGCACCCCACTCTACTGGTACCAATATACCGTATTAGTCCATTCTCATGCTATTATGAAGGACTGGGTAATTTGTAAAGGAAAGAGGTGTAATTGACTCACAGTACCATGGCTGGCGAGGCCTCAGGAAACTTATAATCATGGCAGAAGTGAAAGCAAACACATCCTTCTTCGCGTGATGGCAGGAAGAAGTGCTGAGCAAAAGGGGGAAAAGTCCCTTATAAAACCATCAGATGTCTTAAGATCTCGCTATTATGAGAATAGCATAGAGGTAACTGCCCCCATGATTCAATTACCTCCCACCAGGTCCCTCCTACAACACGTGGGGATTATCGGAACTACAATTCAAGATGAGATTTGGCTGGTGACACAGCCAAACCATATCAGCTGGTCTCTTGCTAAGCTACCTGATGAGCAATCAACCCTCTTCTTACCTAGAACACACATGTTTCCCTTTGGCTCAGATCAACTTTGGCAGAGGGTGAAACCTGGCTCTGCTGGATACTTTTGGCACAAGCTGTGTCAGAAGACCTGGACATTATTTCTTCAGATAAAAAATCTGAAGCCAGATCTTATCCTGACCGGCCAAGTTCTTGTATCCTTACAGCCACCTCTTCTGTTTGTTCCAAAGAACTGCCCAGGCTTGGCTGGAATGATCCAATACTTACTATGATTTTATCCTCATTAGCCACTCAACCTAGAATCCAATTTTAATTATACTCCAGAAGCACCAAGTGATAGGTGAGGCTGCTGTTTCAGACAGAGACAGTTTAAGGGTTAGTCCAAAAGATAAAGCACTTCTCAGGGCTTGCTTTAGCTTATTCTCATCAAAGAGCTTTCTCTACAGAAGAATCCTACTGGGTCCTCCTTCCTGGTCCTTGAACTTCTAACCTAGAGTGGCTTAATCCTGCTGCCATCTCTCTCTCACACTCTGGTGCCGAATGATTCCAGGAACTGGGCCATACTATGGTGGGAATGACTTTACCTTGAGCATGTCACTCATGCATTGAATATCAGCTGAGTGCAGAGCTAAGGCTGAGCCCTATAAGGAGAGAAGAATCACATCCTGCAGAAATCTGTCCAGAGAAGCAGGTACTGTACCCACAGCAAAGACACAGTGGATAACTGAATAACAATAATATAAGACAGGACATGGGAACAGCAAAAGATTTGGGTGTCACAAGAAGCTGAGAACACTTTAAGCAGAAACATTCAGAGTCATTCTTGGAGGAAGTAGGCACGAAGGCTGGGGAGAATTTTAAGGGGCAGAGATGAAGCAAACAATTCAAGTGAAAGGCATGGCATGGGAAAGGGAGCGCTGGCCACAGGGAGTACAATGTTGTGATGCAAGGCCACTGTGGAGCCATTATTGGCGTATTAACTGCAAAGTTTGAATTGAATCAGAAGGGAATTGGAGGCCTCCAGACTAAGCATTCTCTGAGAGAAGCACAAGCCCACAACTTTCACCTACAAACTATTGATTCCAACTTAGTCCCTTGCTCTCTGGTATCTATGAGACAGCAGAGCCTATTGCAGTACCCAAGAAAATTAGGCCTTATCACCAAGAAGAAAGGGGGACTGCATGATGCAGAAGCGACCAGTCATCTCAACCAGATACTGCACAGCCTAAATTCAAACTGTTACAATATAATCAAATTTCACCAACCCCAGTCACATCTTAATCTTAGGAGTTTTGATCACTGACTTGCAAATCCCAAAAGTGTGTTTTGAGGTCCTAGGCCACAGGAAGAACCAGCTTGCCCCACAGACCTCTTACAGAGATGGTATTCGCAGTCTATCTAGAGTCCAGCTTCAGATAATATGTACTCCACTGGCAGCACGAGAAATAAATACACAGGAAAATACAATATAGCACAAACCAGGAGCTGAGGGTGAATGAAGATGCTCAGAAACACCCACACTAAAAATTTGCTGAAAAAGCTAAAACATGACAAGCAGCACTGCCTCTGGAAACCAGAAAAATTATATTATTTGATAACAGATCCTAAGCCTGGATGCTGAAGGTGCTTAAAAATGTGCACTGTGTCTGGCTTTCTTTCCATGTATACATTTATTTGACTCTGTAGTAAAATCTCCTCCTCCTTCATGTCCCATATTCATGCAAGCAAATGTTAACAAACTGCCACAGTAGCATTTTAATTAGTGCACATCTTTCTGTCTTCACCACATTATAATCTTTTCTCATTTTGTTCTGCTGATATTTCTATTATGATAAAAGACTTAAGTAAATACATAGAAATACTTATATACATGTACATGCAAGAATGATTCAAATAGATAAACACAGAAACAAATACTAAGGGAGGTAGGGCTGGAATTTTTCTTCAATATGTACAATTCAGCATACTTTCAGTTTTCATTTCAACCTTCCTCAGTGGTTTCTGCCCAGCAACTGATGAGAAACACCACCTCTGAGCCAATCAAAAAACTAATTCTTCCAAAGAGAGATTGTTATTATTCCTCAGGATGACCAGACAGCTTCTGCTTTCTTTTTCCTTTCTTCCAGATGGAGATTCAACCATAATAGAAAGAATGGAGAACTATTAACCGCCTTTCTTCAGTGAGCTGTGATTTTCAGAGGGGAATACTAAGAAGTAAGTGGGGGATATTGATTAGAGCCTGCGCTACAATGCCTGCTGAATCATTGAGAGTGGTGAGTGGGCATGCAGGAAGAGTACTCACCCTGAGAAAGGGTGAGGTGCCTGTGTGTGTGTGTGTGTGTGTGCGTGCATGCGCACATGGGCAACCACGCACACATGTGGGCACATGGGGAAGAGGCAAGTAGTGCAAAGAATAAAGACCTGCAGATGTTGGGATTTGGTGGAAGAAAACAGAGACGACATAAATGAAGAAATATTCCAACTGCACGTTCTTAAGAACGTATTGTGGTCAGAAAAAGGCAAAAAATCTTTAAAATCTGTTTTGGCCAACTCAAGCCGTCTATTCTAAGAGATTCTAGAAAGAGATGTGCCTTATAGATTCATATGTAAATGTGTTCATTACAGATATATTTATAATATAGAAAAATCTGAACCAGCATACACATACAACAGGCGGGGGATAGACAAACAATACATGGTTCAATCATAAAAGAGATTCCCATGCAGCCTTTAGGAATCATGTTTTTAATGAACGGCAATTATTTATCATTTTAACATCATTAGATCCATACATTAAACCCTGTTTTGTATGATTTAGGTACAGTATCTGTTTTTTCTACCATTAAACATTTCCTCATAACCCAATATATGTGTTTCAATGGACACAATCTATTTCATTGTATGAATATATAATTATTTTTTAAAACTTTCTTAATTTTGGCTATTTCAATTATTTACATTTGGCTACTGTAGATTTTATTATATTTAACAGCCTCAGACATAAACTTTTGTCGTAATTTCTGACTTTTTTTCTCCTTCAACAATAATTCCTATAAGTGGAACTTTTGGGTAAAGCATAAAACTTCTTTTTTTTTAATAGCGTTTCCTTGGTAGAGCATGTAACTTTTTAAAGAAGCTTGCTGTATATATGATCAAAATGCTTCAAGAAGTATTTATGTTTCTACTACCAAAGTATATGATTACAACTACAGATTTTTAATTTTATTGATTAATTTGTAGAAATGAGGATCTCATTATGTTACCCAGGCTGGTCTTAAACTCCTGGTCTCAAGGAATCCTCCCACCTTGACCATCCAAATTGCAAAGATTACAGGCATGAGCCACTACTAAACTGTTATTCCTTTATGCTTTTCTTCATTTGCAATATTGACTATAATCAGGAAGAAAAATATAAACATCCTTTAAAAAGAATGAAAACATATGTCTCACTTTAAGCAGTGTGGAGAAATTGTTAACTTTGAAACCAATGATAATAAAAATGATACCCCTTCTGTAGCAACATAAAGAGCAGTTTTGAGGAACAGAAGATGTGAAACGCAATTTTAGTCTGGGTGGGTGCAAGATGCAGGTAGGGGTGGAGGATGGCCGGCTGCACAGACCTCTGTTCCAGTGCTTCCTCTTCATCCCTCCCCACGTCTGTCTGCAGACCTTGTTTTCAGAGGCCATTCCCAGACTCAGGTGGCCACAGCAGCGGGTGTTATGGCTGCAGACCTCATGCTCCTTTGCTTTGGAAGAAGCTGTTGAGAAGCTAGTATTTACTGAGCAGCTAATATGTTCCAGTCAGTATTATCACTCATAATAATTACTGTTAAGTAGCACATGAAAAATTTTAAATTTAAAGCATTTCAGTATTTTAAAAGTAAAGGGAGCAAAAGGCCAAAGTGATCTTTCGCTCACTTAACCTCCGATCTTCAGTTTAGCATGCATCTTTTTAGACTTTTGCAGGCATTTACATCTATAAATATGCAGAAATGTATAGCTTAGCTTTTGTTTTTCAATCGAATCATTAGTATAGTTCTGCAATGTGCTTTTTGACCGCTTAGTGTATCACCATTACCTAGGTTCATGACAATAAATCAACTCTTTTTACCTGCTGCATTGAATTCCCTCTGAGGGATGAGCTGTCATTCCTCTAAGCAGTCTCCTGTTGAGTGGATGGTTCAATTAGTTACCACTTTTATACTTTAAAAATAGTTCTGCAACGCCATTCTCACAGAGGCTTCTCACTGCACCCATGCAAGTACTTTGCTGGACTAGACATCAGAAAGTGGAATTGCTCAACCAATTGTGCACTTTCTAAATTTCATACTTCATGGTATTGTATGAATAAAGAAAGTTCCAGTGGTTTTGTCCCATGAACAAGGTCACACAGCTTGTGAATCTTAGAGCCTTTACCTATAGCTTACCTTCTTTATGTCCTTAACACTAATATAGTAGGCCTCACCCATTGTGGGTGCTCAGTAAATATTTGTTGAATGACTTTATGAAGGGAAGAAAGAAATGATGAGTAAGTCCTGGTCTTAATTTGCAGCTCTCTGATCACTAGCCTTGGATTAAATGTGGTGGGTTCAACCCCTGACTGATTCCAGAGCCCCCACCAGGCAGTCTTCCTGAATCCCACCAGGAGTCCACTGGGCCATGACTTGACCATGGTGATGGCCAAGAGTTGGGGCTTTGAGGAGTCCACAGTGGTGGACACCCACAGTGGTGGATCCCAGTGGAACCAGGGAGCCCAGTAAAGAGGGTCCTGCATGAAACAGAGCAGGATGGCAGAGGGTTGGAAATGGTAGGGGAAGTTTGGGGAAGTGATAGGATTCTGAATATTTTCAAGCAGTACAGTCAAGGATTTCTCAATTGAATAACATGTGCATTATACATAGACATGGTTTTACAGGTAATTTTCCATGTTGAGACTCAAAGGTAAAGACACTGAGGACAGACCTTTTTGGCAGAGGTAAGATCTTCTTTGGTCACCATACTTGAGTTGCCCCTGGGGAAGTGGACGTTTCCATGTGGAATCCTAAAGCTTTTTCTGGGCCATTGTGTCTGTCCCTTACCTTCTGGTGTCTCCTGATATGCAGCACAGATGAAAATGGCAAGTTCCCTGGCCTTTCTTCTGCTCAACTTTCGTGTTTGCCTCCTCTTGGTCCAGCTGCTTACTCCTTGCTCAGGTAGGGAATGATGCAACGCTTGTTTCTGAAGCAGACAATTACCTATGAATGTCCTCATAGAACTTTTTACTCCTTCTCATACCTGGAAGTCCATTCCAACCTGAAGGATCACCTGTCACAAAGAGACAAAGGGTGCTTCTGTTAGGATTGGTTTCCCCTCAAGGTTCTCTGCACCTCGCCTTCCCTGTCTGAGAAGTACCCTTCCTCTCATGACCCCAACTCCAACACCCACTGACAGAACCTCCCTCTGTGCCGACAGCTCAGTTTGCTGTGCTTGGACCCCATGGGCCCATCCTGGCCATGGTAGGTGAAGACGTTGATCTGCCCTGTCACCTGTTCCCGACCATGAGTGCAGAGACTATGGAGCTGAGGTGGGTGAGTTCCAGCCTAAGGCAGGTGGTGAACGTGTATTCAGATGGAAAGGAAGTGGAAGACAGGCAGAGTGCACCGTATCGTGGGAGAACTTCGATTCTACGGGATGGCATCACTGCAGGGAAGGCTGCTCTCCGAATACACAACGTCACAGCCTCTGACAGTGGAAAGTACTTGTGTTATTTCCAAGATGGTGACTTCTATGAAAAAGCCCTGGTGGAGCTGAAGGTTGCAGGTGAGCCTCCAGGTTTGGTTCTGAGAACATTTCTCTGTAGGATCTAGAGCAGAGGCAGAGTCCCTCTTCCAAAAGCACTGCAGACACTCCTGGCTGATCACTAGCAATTGACTGCACTGCCTTCCAACTTAGCTTTCCTGAGGCCCTTAAGAAAGACACACTCCTTCTTTAGAAAGAATTCCTGCTATACCATACATGCTCAAGTAAACAACTCCCTCCCGCTGGAGACCAGAGATATAAGGGAAATGAAGGACGAAGGATAGGAAGCATTAGAAATCACCTCTTCAGTGACTGGTACACAGTCATTTTGGTTTAGTTGTGTAACAGACGGCTTCTGTTGTGTCTCCAAGTGCACACTACCATGGGCCCTGGGAGGTGGAATAGTGACTGTATCTGCTGCCAGTGTTTTCCAATCAGTGACTCCCAGAAACATTTTTGTAGTAGAATGAGGCATGTTTCTTACTTGTTGCAGTGAGGAAGAACACACATCATGGGGAGCTTTGGCAGTATCTCAGTAAGGAAGTTTTAGAGCAGACTTATTATACAATGTGGGCTTCTGTTAGGGGATTTGGGGGATGGTTTATAGACTTAGCACTCTGCTCTGGATGAGATACTGTCGGGAAGGTGTCAGGAGACGAATTCTACGAGTGGGAGCCTTAATCAAGCTTATCCAGGAGGAAGGAGACTAGGGTGAAACTAAAGCTGTAACTGATGAAGAGGCAGAAATTCCTTATTGCCGATGGGGGATGTTCGGTCATTGTTGTGGTTTGGACAATGTTTATGTTTTTCTCTGCACTCACACATGATGTGGGGTGGTCTTGTATTTCCCATGATCTGTCACAGTGATAAAGTACTATTGTTTGTGTTCTGTGAAATTGTTCATGTTCAACAGGAGGATACCAAGACCTGGTGTCAGGTTCCAGATGCCGAGGACAGCTTTTTTCTTTCTCAGTGCAATCCCTTGCCTGATGGCTTCTGGTTGGGTTTGGTTTAAGGGGAGCTATAGAAGACAATGGTAGGAAGAAGAGAAAAGGGAGAGGTCTGGGTGCTTATTCCCTGGCTTCCTGACTGCAAGATACCCTCAGGCTGGCTGCATTGCCTTGCTGAAGGTCACAGGTCAACTCAAGAAAGTCCTCAATGCATCAATCTCTTCTTTTATGTCTACGGAACACATCCCTCTTCTCCTCCCTCTGGTAATTGGGGTGGGTGGGAATAGCCCCACCTTACTGACCCTGGGATACTGCACTAGCCCATTTAATTTTCTTCTCATCATGACCACACTTGTGTAAATAACTCCTGAATGAAATCTTTCTAGAATTATCAAATGTGAGTCTGCCATTGATTCCTATTGAGACTCTCCCTGATACAGGAGTTCTCAAGAATTTATGTCAATTTAACCTTCCACAGCATTGGGTTCTGATCTTCACATTGAAGTGAAGGGTTATGAGGATGGAGGGATCCATCTGGAGTGTAGGTCCACTGGCTGGTACCCACAACCCCAAATACAGTGGAGCAACACCAAGGGACAGCACATCCCGGCTGTGAAAGCACCTGTGGTTGCAGATGGAGTGGGCCTGTATGCAGTAGCAGCATCCGTGATCATGAGAGGCAGCTCTGGGGAGGGTGTATCCTGCATCATCAGAAATTCCCTCCTCGGCCTGGAAAAGACAGCCAGCATTTCCATCACAGGTCAGTACCCTGCTTGGCCTCAGCTTTACTGAGCTGAGCTGTGGCAGTTGATGAAAGGGAATGTGTGAGTCTCTACTGTGTGAGTCTCTGCGGTCAACCTGGGTCTCTGCACTCCAGGTAAGGCTCAAAGCAGGGACCTGGAGGCCACTCCCTGCTCCAGAGGAGCTTCCCCACTCCACAGAGCTGTTCACGCCACAAACATTTACTGATCACTTCCTGTCTGACAGAAACAGAAAGTGTGACAGGCAGTGGGAATTGGGGAGAAACGTTAAGATCAGCTCCTTATGTAAAGTCAAATGACAAAATGGGAAAACATATATTTACAAACTCATAGAGAAAGAGCTAATCTTTTTGAAACAGAAGATTCTGAAAACTGAGTAAAAAATGTTAAAGGTCCAGAATTGTTAATTTACAGGAAAGGAAATAACCCACAAAAGGGTGTTCTATCTCACTCATTAGGGAAACATATAGGAAATCATTTTTCACTTATGATACTGGCAAAACTCAAAACCACAATGCCTTGTTTGATAACACATGGTTATGGCAGGAATGTAGGAAGGCAGTGATTCTCAGTCATTTGGTCGTGTCACTTGTATTTTTGGTGTGCATTAGCTCAAGCTCTATTGGGGGATCTATCCAAACTACATATTTATTGATCCAAAATTCCAGTTCTGGGATGCGCTTCCATTTGTATGAGATGATCCATGTAAAAGGTTTCTGGGTTTTTTTTGTTTGTTTGTTGATTGTTTGTTTGTTTGTTTGGTTTTGGAGAGGGAGTCTCACTCTTCTGCCCAGGCTGGAGTGCAATGGTGCAATCTCAGCTTACTGCAACCTCCTCCTCTTCAATTCAAGAGATCCTCCTGTCTCAGCCTCCCCTAGCTGGCCAAGCATGCACCACCACAACTGGCCAATTTTTATATTTTTGCTAGAGATGTGGTTTCACCATGTTGGCCAAGCTAGTTTCAAACTCCCGACCCCAATGGATCTGCCTGTCTCAGCCTCCCAAGGTGCTGGGATTACAAGTGCGAGTCACCAGCCTAGCCTGTAAGAAGTTTCTTGATTATGATTGTAAAACGTTAGAAGCTATACAGATGCTAACTGATGGTGAACTTCCATACAAGGGAATACTGCCCAGTTGTGAAAGAAAAGAGATAATTCTCTATATACTAATGTGGAAAGATCTCCAAGACACACTTTACACAGAAGAGTGAGATGCAGAGTGATGTGTATAGAATGTTATTTTTAGTTTAAACAAGAGGAAAAATAGGAACATATTTTAATGGACTTTTCTAGTTCTTGATTGTGTTATTTAATTTACATTTTTAAAATTTAACAAGCGATTTTGTAACCCTCACTGTACATCAGGCACTTTATTTACTTATTTAGAGACAAAGCCTCACTCTGCCACCCAGGCTGGAATGCTGTGGACAATCTTGACTCACCGCAAGTTCCGCTTCCCGGGCTGAAGCAATTCTACAGCCTCAGCCTCCCTAGTAGTTGGGATTACAGAAACATGCCATTACATCCAGCTAATTTTTGTAATTTTAGTAAACATGGGTTTTCACCATGTTGGCCAAGCTGGTCTCGAACTCCTGACCTCAAGTGGTCTACCTGCCTTGGCCTCACAAAGTGCTGGGATTACAGGCATGAGCCACCGTGCCAAGCCCATCAGACCCTTTATAAGTATTAATTTAATTCTTCTAACCTCAGGAGATGGGTATTATCATTACCCTCATTTAATAGAATAGGCCACTACAAACAGAGAGATTATATAAGTAGTCCAACATCACACTGCTAGTCACATGGGGGAGACACCATTTAAACCCATGCCCTCTGACTCCACAGTTTATGTCCCTAAGCAGCATATTAAGTGAACCAAGGAGAAGTTAATACATGGAGGGAGGGAGTACTAGGTAGATGGGAGAGTTGCATGACTCTAGGTGTACATCATTTTTATGTAAATGTGTTACTGGTTGAAAAAATACTTAGAAAAAAATGAGTATGACTCTGCCCAAGTTAATTTCCATATGAGAGGCAGACATCTCAAGATAGTAACAGTAGTAGCTTATAGTGAGGGTTTACCAAAGTGTTCTCTACAGTCCTCTGAGACTTTAGGGAGAGGGCACTTATTTAACCTAATGAGATAGATTCCATGCCCCCAACCTGGGCTGAGCAGCTAAAGCTTGGGGTGCTAAGGTTGGGGAGGCTGAGTGCACCAGCGCCCATGACTCACAGCTCTCCCTTTCACAGACCCCTTCTTCAGGAACGCCCAGCCCTGGATCGCAGCCCTGGCAGGGACCCTGCCTATCTCACTGCTGCTTCTCGCAGGAGCCAGTTACTTCTTGTGGAGACAACAGAAGGAAAAAATTGCCCTGTCCAGGGAGACAGAAAGAGAGCGAGAGATGAAAGAAATGGGATATGCTGCAACAAAGCAGGAAATAAGCCTAAGAGGTATCCAAAGCGAACAGAGAATCTAAGCCCCAGGCTTGCATGCCCAGCCTGAAGATCTCACCCCCATACCCGTCCTGGCGCTGCATCATGTTTAAGGTTTATTTTCCCGAAATCCCCCTCACCCATAACTGTTCTTTTTTTTTTCTCTCTCTCTCTCTCTTTTTGCTTATTTTTCAGAGAAGCTCCAGGAGGAACTCAGTAAGTTCCCATTCCCCCAGAGATCCAGGCATGTCTTCTTATCCCCACTTTGAGCACCTTGATAACTGTTCCTTCCCTGTTCATTCCATTGCAGAGTGGAGAAAAATCCAGTACATGGCTCGTGAGTGACTCTGACATTTTCTCTGAATTTGAATCTAGGACTCTCTTCTGCTTGGAAATTTTCCAGCCCATAAGTCTTTGCCCAGGATTGAAAACTGGTTAGATCCCCTTACTCAGGAAAAGAAAATAAGTGTGGCTCTTTGGAGAAACCACCCAGAAGGAGTCTCTCTCTTCTCTCTCTCTCTCTAAGAAAAGAAAAAGAGATCTTCCATCTCTTTGTACTAGGGGCCACAGACATTTATGCCCTAAAAAGCACTGAGGAATATCCAGGGGTGCACTTCAAAAGGGAGAGGGAAGAGAAGGATGAGGTGTATTTTCTATGGCAGGAACCTTACATATTGTTTTCCATAATCTAGAGGAGGTTGAAAGGAAAACAAGAAGGGAAGATTTAAGAGATAAGAAAATCAGAAAAGAGAGCAGGAGAAAAGTGTGTCTAATAAAGAGGAGTAGCTACAGTGGCTCAGTTCCTACAGATTTATCATAACTGCTTTCAAAACTAGTCCCTGAAATTGTGCATTAAATTTCCCAAATTCTTTTTAGAGCAAGGTAGGAAATGATACAGATTGAGAAGGATGGATCTTGTACTCCTAGACATTCACATATAGACATGGTGACACCTATGCCCAGGCACAGGAGTATAGACAGATTCAAAATAGATTAGGTGGGTTCCATTGGGAAGGAACTCTCACAGTGACTGCATTGCCACTAGCATTCAGCCAGTGTTCCCGGACTGGATATTAAGAAGAAGAGGTGAAGAGAGAATTCAGCATGCAGAGTGAGACCATAGGGAAGGGTGGAATGGTCAAAAAGAAAGACTAGATGGACGCGAAAGGAAGGGGAAGGGACCAACAGAGCAAAGGCAGTGTTCATGTGACATCTCTGTCTTTCTTTCATTGTAGGGGGAGAGAAGTCTTTGGCCTATCATGGTGAGTGAGCCTGATGCTCTCGGGGTTTGCCGGGTCATGTACCATGAACATTTCAACCTTTTCTCTGCTGTGACTCATTGACGTTCTCAGTTGGATTAATCAGTTCTAACCCATAGACCCAATCTTGCATGGTACGGGGTTGACTTCTGCTTTTCTGGAGCCTCTGAGAGACTCCTGACCCTGCACATGCCCAGGCAAAGCATAGCCGTGCAGCCTGCACCCCTCATGACATTGTTTAGAAGGTGCCACCTCTGATCCATCAGACCTGTACAGGAGGGAGGCTGAACCCTAGAAGAGACGCTGAAGAAAAGGAGAGAAAACGTGTAGTGAAAGGAGAATCGAGTGGAGAAAAAACAAAACTACTGACCTTTTTCTTATCTGTGTCTCCTTCCTTTCAGAATGGAAAATGGCCCTCTTCAAGCCTGGTGAGTAAATCACTGTATGTTCCCTGGACCAACAACCTGAGGGACCGTATGCCTTTTTCCTCCTCCAACTCTTGTGATTTGGGGAAGAAAACTTCCCTTGACTAAGAGAGTTTGGGATAGACAACATTAAATCCCAATCTGAAAAGTGGGCCCATCTCCAAGACCCTTCCTGCTAAGAGCCCGGGGAACCAGAAAGAATTGCTCTCTTGGGCTTCCTCAGACCTTCCTGGGAAGGAAGACACATAAAGGGTGGAGATGAGGGGAAGGAGACACACACTGAGTGATACTGCAGGGAGAGTGAGGGTGGAAATGCCAAGGAGAGGAAGCGATGCCTGCCCAAAGAACTTTGCCCTTCCTAGGCTTCTCATGCCACCTACCGCCTGTGTCACCTCAAAGGATTTAATGCTTCTGAGCTTTGGCCTCCACATTTTTAAACGAAAATTGCAATCTGTGTTTTGTTGGGGTTGAGGTGAAGACTGAAGGAATAATAAATATCCATTGGTTAAAAACCTAGTTAGAAAGAGATGACGTGTTCACACTGCATGGTTGAAGAAGGTTTGCAGAAAGGAGGGTTAAGGGAAAGCAACAAGGAAAAGTGCAGTGCCCCCATGGTTCCCAACATTGGGGAGCTGTCTCCACTCCTAGGGAGGGGAGGCAGTTACTGGAACCCAGAGAAAAGTAGCACAAAGACAGGGCTTCCTGAGAAGAGTCATCAGGCCTTGTTAGAGCCACACCAGCTGCTGCTGGCAGGGAGGAAGCAGGAAAATAAACGGTGTGTCTCTCCTTTCTGTCTCCTTCCAATCTTCTATCAGGGCCTCCCATTGGCCAAACCCAACAGCAAACCAGAGGACAAGGGAGCCCAGTGGCACTGTCCTTAGAGTACAGATTCCTGGGGCCCAGAAGAGGGTGGAGAAAGCTGAAGGTTGGAGAGTGAATCTGGGGCCCCCCACAGAGCCCAGCACAGAGACTGCCTTGCAGCTATTAGAACATCAGGAGCTTCCTTCATGCCCTGCCATGGGCTGAATAAATGATTCCCCTACGCTAGAGATTCATATTTTTATCCCCATTTTTCAGGTGAGGAAATGCTTCAGATGAGGCTCCAACTTATTAAATAAATTGGATGTACAGAAAAATAGACTGCAGAAAAGGGGAACTCATTTAGTTCATGAGTGGTAGAGTGAAGATTGAAAAGTAACCTCTGATTATAAAGCATTCAGGGGCAGAGTCAATGTGGGGAGGGAAACAAGAAAAATGTAGCAAGAGGATCCTTGTTGCTTCCTGGGGCAGCATCAGGGTATTGGATTAGGCAGATACTGACCTTACTTTCATTTCCCCTCTGGACACAAGACCCCTTGAGCTTTCTCCCACGACACTGATGAGACAGTCAAATTCAGGGCAGGCTAGGGACGCCAGGTTCTGTAAGGACCTCCTCAGCATGGTCCAGGCCTTGCATGCTGAGGCTCTGAAATCCAGGAAAAATGGCTGACCCCATGGACACCTCCTCAAACTCTCTGCAGCGGATGTGATTCTGGATCCAGACACCGCAAATGCCATCCTCCTTGTTTCTGAGGACCAGAGGAGTGTGCAGCGTGCCGAAGAGCCGCGGGATCTTCCAGACAACCCTGAGAGATTTGAATGGCGTTACTGTGTGCTTGGCCGTGAAAACTTCACATCAGGGAGACATTTCTGGGAAGTGGAAGTGGGGGACAGAAAAGAGTGGCATATTGGGGTGTGTAGTAAAAACGTGGAGAGGAAAAAAGGTTGGGTCAAAATGACACCAGAGAATGGATACTGGACCATGGGGCTGACTGATGGGAATAAGTATCGGGCTCTCACTGATCCCAGAACAAACTTGAAACTTCCTGAGCCCCCTTGGAAAGTGGGAATCTTCCTGGATTATGAGACTGGAGATATCTCATTCTACAATGCTACGGATGGATCTCATATCTACACCTTTCCGCACACCTCTTTCTCTGAGCCTCTGTATCCTGTATTCAGAATTTTGACCTTGGAGCCCACTGCCCTGACCATTTGCCCAACACCAAAACAAGTAGAGAGTTCCCCCGATCCTGGCCTAGTGCCTGATCATTCCCTGGAGACACCAGTGGCCCCGGATTTAGCTAATGAAAGTGGGGAGCCTCAGGCTGAAGCAACATCTCTGCTTCTCCCTGCTCACCCTGGAGTTGATGGCCTCGCCCTCCACAACAACCAATCAGAACCATAAAGCTACAGGCACGCACTGAAGCACTTTACTGATATTCATGCAATTATTCCATATGACAGTTGTTTGAGTTTGGTACCACCTATTGTCCCTTTATACAAATAAGGAAACTGGGGTGCAGAAAGGTGAATTAACTTTACAAAGTAGACATGACTAGTGAACAATAGAGCTGGGATTTAAACAGCAATAGCTAATATTAACAGACAATTTAAACTGTTCTGAGTGCTGTGTTGTACGCTTTGGTGGATGTCACTCCTTTGAACGTCACAACACCCCATGGGGTGGTCTCATTTTGCAAGTATGAAAGCTGAGGCAGGGCAACGTTAAGTAACTTACATAACTCCTACGGTAATTTGTGTAGTTAGGAGATGTTCAGCCTCAGTCCCTGGCTAATTGCCCATTCTTTTCCAGCCTGATTTTTTTCCCTGGGAAGAGCCCCCATGTAGCCCTGAGGTTTTCTTCCCAGAACAGCACCAGGGTAGAGATAATTGTAAGTGGTTGTGGAGTTGACACCCCTATTGACTCCTTCCCAGCTGATTATCAGAGCCTTAGACACAACACTCCTTAGATTAGCTCTGCAGAGTGTCTTGGTTGAGAGAATAACCTCATAGTACCCACATGACATGTGACTTGGAAAGAGACTAGAGGCCACACTTGATAAATCACGTGAAAGAGATGTGTGCCCATCCAACAAATGTGATAAGTGATTGCACAGCCAGAGCCAGCCTTCCTACAGTCAAGGTTTCCAGGCAGAACAAATACCCTAAAGACTCTCTGTGATATAGGAAATTTGGATGAAGGAAGCTAGAAGAATTACAGGGATGGTTTTAATCCCACTATGGACTCAGTCTTCTGGAAATAGGTCTGTCCACCCCTGATCATTGGTGGATGTTAAACCCATATTCCTTTCAACTGATGCCTGCTAGGGAAAACTACTCCTCATTGTCATCACTATTAATGCTCACCACTGTATCCCCTCTACTTGGCAAGTGGTTGTCAAGTTCTAGCTGTTTAATAAAGTGTTAATAATGCTTACTCTTCAACTTGGCTTTTTCTAGACTGTGGTGTCTACTCAGCACAGTAAAGTAAAGTAGTCTGCACACTCACTGCACTCACCACAGTCTCAGTTTACCTCACTGCAGCATTTTCACAAAACCCTTATTGGATATATTCTCTTTGTTCTTCTCCCAGGCTGGAGTACAGTGGCACAATCTCAGCTCACTGCAACCTCTGCCTCTCAGGTTCAAGTGATTCTCCTGCCTCAGTCTCCCAAGTAGCTGGGACTACAGGTGCGTGCAACCACACCCAGCTAATTTTTTGTATTTTTAGTACAGACAGGATTTCCCCATGTTGTCCAGGATGGTCTCAATCTCCTGACCTCATGATCCACCCACCTCGGCCTCCCAAAGTGCTGAGATTACAGGCATGAGCCACCGCGCCTCGCCTCAGAAATTCATAAACTTAAAGCAACACAAATGTATCATCTCACTGTTCTGTAGGTGAGAAGTCAGTCCCACAGGGATCTCACCAGGCTAGAATCAAGGTGTCTGCAGGCTGGATTCCTTTCTGGAGTCTCTAAGGAAGAATCTGTTTCCTTGCTTATTCAGACTGTTGTCCGAATCAGATCCTTTCATCTATAGGACTGAGGTCCCAGTTGTTTCCTGGTTTTTACCCATTTCTAGAGGCTGCCACACTCTGGCTCCTAGCTCCCTTCCTCCATCTTCAAAGCAGTAACAGTGCATTGAGGCTCATCTCCTAGATCTTTTTCTCTATTGTATCTCTCTGATTCTTTTTACCTCCTCCTTTTTTTTTTTTCCTTCCTTCTTTGACAAGGACTCGCTTTGTCACCCAGACTGAAGTGCAGTGGCGTGATCTCGGCTCACCACATACTTTGTCCCCTGGGCTCAAGCAATTCACCCACCTTAGCTTCCCAAGTAGCTGGGACCACAGGCCCACATCACCATGCCGGAGTATTTTCCTGTAGAGACAGGGTCTCGCCAAGTTGCCCAGGCTGGTCTCAAACTCCTGAGCTCAAGCAATCTACCCACCTTGGTCTCCCAAAGTGCTGGGGTTATAGGCATGAGCCACTGCGCTCAGTCTGCCTTTTACTTTTAAAGACTCCTATGATTAAACTGAGATCACCCAGACAATTTAGAATAATCTTTCTATTTTAAGGTCCATAACCTTAATTCTGTGTAAAATTCATTTTACCGTGTTATACATTCTTTTCATAAGTTTCGTAGTGGATATAGCTCAAAGGGTGGGTAGGGGGAGTACTATTCAGCTCACCACACTGATTTGGGAAGTGATCCCAGGAAACACAAGTGCAGAAACAAATTGAGAAATGAAAGAAAGCCACTTACATGAGAAATGGGATAAAGGGTTCACTCATGAATCAGTTACCATGTGGATAACTTGGCTCAATCCCTTTTAGGACTCTGTAAGAAACCATACGAAATGTGTGATATAGCTCAGAATCTTCCTAAGGACTACAGGGCCTGAGACTTTATCTCCACTTCCCATCCTCCTTTGCTTGAATTGGTTGAAGGTTGGCCTGGGAGTGTTAATTCTAATGCACTTTAAGATTGGGCTATGTAACTGCAGAAAAGCAACTATCATGGGTGTGATAAAGCTCACAGGCAAAGGAGAAGGGAAATACTCACTGGAGGTGGGGAGGTTGTCATCCTTGCAGAAAACTGTGCCTTAGCTATTGGCAAACTGTGATAGGCCAAGAGAATATGGGATGGGACATCAACAGTGCCTGTTCTAAGGGCTCTGCCTCTGAGAATATAGTGAACACCTTTCAAGGTCTCTCTACCCTCCCTGTACCATATTTAGCATTAGTGACCTCTTCTCTTCCAATACATGTCCATATCACGTGGCCCTGCAGCCTCACCACATGGACTGGGTCTGGGATGGACACCTGACCCAGGCTAGGCCAGAGGACCAAGTGACGTGTGACCAGTTACACCTGTAGCAGATGTGCATGGGAGCTGTGGGAAGAACTGTTCCATTCATGGTGTGGAGTAAACGATGGTGGATTGCAGAGAGAACACCAAGGCCGATGAGCAGAGAGAAGGCTACAAGATGGAAAGAATTTAGGCAAATTTCTTGTGTTTGGTTCTTTTAGAAACTCAGTATCATTTCTTCTCTTTGAAAAAAATTGTTCTTTTGAGGCAAGATAAATGTACTCATTAATATTGCTATAGTCCTGATATTCAGAAGCTTACGCAACTATTATAATATGTTCAGTGATTCTGTGGGTCAGGAATCTAGAATTTGAACAGGGCAGAGTAGGAATGGATTTTTTGTGTGCCAAGATGTCTAGGCCTCCCCTGGGAGTACTCCATAGCTGGAGATGACACACCCATATTACCTTCAAAGACGGTAGTTTATTGCAAAGCAAAAGGGAATCAGTGTTCACCTTGTGTCTTGGTTCTTCCAGGGTTGGCAGGTCCATAAACAACCTTGCTGAAGTGACCCTTCCTGTCTCTATCCCTCCCACTACAGAGCATGATTGGGTTAGGTTGTTACTATCTAACCGGGCACACCCCAGTAGAACTTGATTTCTTTCTAAGCTACCCCATCTTCAACTGATCCTCTTTCTTGTCAGAAAACACATGTTTCCCTCTGGCTCAGATCAACTTTGGCAGAGGCTGAGGCCTGGCTTAGCTGGATGCTTCTGGCAAAAGGGCTGCTTCAAAGCCCTGGGCCTTATTTCTTCAGGTAAAAAAATATAAAGTCAGATCTCATCCTGGCTGACCATGCTCTTAGACCCTTGCATCCTTCTCTTCTGCCTCTTCTCAACAGCTGCCCAGTCCTGTTTGGAATGTTCTAATACTGATATATTTACCCTCATGAGCCACTCAACCCAGAATCTTATTTGAATGATAATCCAGAAACATCAGGTCATGTGTGAGACTACTGTATGAGAAAGAGAAAGTTTAAGGGTCAGTTCAATGGAAAAAATAGTTCTCCGAGCTTTCTTTAGTTTATTCTCATCAAAGAGCTTTCTCTGCAGAAGGAACCTACTGGTTCCTCCTTCCCAGTCCTAGAAATCCTGACCTAGAGTGGTTTAATCCTACTAGCACCTCTCTCTCGCACTCTGGTGCCAAATGACTCCAGGAACTGGGCCATAATGTGGTGGGAATGACCTTACACTGAGCATGTCACACATGCATTGAACAACAGCTGAAAGCAGAGCTTAGAGCTCAGAGCTGGGCCCTGTAAGGTGAGAGGAATCACATCCTGCAGAAGTCTGTCCTGAGAAGCAGGTACACCCATCACAGCAAAGACACAGTTCATACCTGAGTAACAATAATACAACACAAGACATGGGAACAGCAAAAGATTTAGGTGTCAGAAGCGGCTGAGAACACTTCAGGCAGGAACATTCAGAGTTGTTTTTGGAGGAAGTAGTCACGAAGCCTGGGCAGGATTTCAAGGGGCAGAGATGGAGCAAACAATTCAAGTGAAAGGCATGGCGTGGGAAAGGGAGTGCTGGCCACAGGGAGTGCAATGTTGTGATGCAAGGCCACTGTGGAGCCATTGCTAGCGTATTAACTGCACAGTTTTGAATTGAATCAGAAGGGAATTGGAGGCCTACAGACTAAGCATTTAGACACTTGAGGGAAATATTGACAACTGGGCCTCGGGAAGATTATTCTGGAAGATATCTTTACAATTACAAATTGGAGCCTCTGGGAGAGGGATGATGTTGACGGGAGGATGGTATGTGTGCTGGTGTGTGTGTGTGTGGCTCTTGGACCCAACCTGACCACCTACTATCTAGAAGATGAAGGACAACTAGAAAGTTTTGCTCAATTCCATCTTCTGCCGCCACCAGAATGCCACCTCCCTGAAGGAAAGGGTTTTTGATCCTCACTCAGGATTCTCAGTACCTCGTATCCAATAGCTTTGGAACGAATGACAAGGCCTTCATAACAGCCACTGCAACTGCTGTCTCCTTTCCTTTGCTACCCCTCCCCCTCCAGCCATGCCTGCTTTCCCCAAGCCCTCCCGTGCTCCAGGCCCAACCTCCAAAGCCAGCGACTTGAACAAGAGTCCTCTGGCTTTGGAAAGAGGGTGGCTTATGTTTTCCTCCTCATGTTTCCTCCCCAGCAAAATTGCCCTCTGCATAGAGAGCCTCTCCTCGCGGACACCAGCAAAGCCACCGACCTCGGTGACAAACCCAAGGGAATCTCCCCAAGGAATCTTAAAGAGAGAGAGAGAGAGAGAGAGTCTTGCTTTCCAACAAAGAAAAAGGAAATAAAAAGGCCCGATAATCTCGAAAGGTTATTTGCTGCTTGAAATTTTTGATTCCGTGTATTCTACCTAGTAACTGCTGAGAAATAAGGCTCAACACCATTGGCTGGTTCACTCACACCCGGCCAATCCTGGACTCTAAACTCTTTAAGGAAATCTTGAGGCTGGGGAAGCCCAGTGGTCCAGATCTCGGTTCCTGCATCTCCAGACATGGCGACCTAGGGGAAGGGGAAGTACAGTTTTTTCTCCTCTTTTGGGACGGTTTGCGTCTAGTAGTGCCTGTGCCCCTGGGCAGCTTGGAGAGAAGAGGGGCGACTGGAAAATCGTCATTTCAGAACCAGAGGAGAAAAGAAAACGCAACGTTAATTCTAGAAGGTAGGAAAGGGAAGGAAGGCGCTACAGCTCCGGGGTGGGCACAGTAGGTGTGAGAAGCGGAATCTGCTGTGGACACGAGACGGGGTTCTGGGAGAGGGGAAGGCCACCGGTGGGGGATCGCGGCCTCGCCTGGCTTTACCTCAGGCTGCCCGGCCTGAGTCTCGGGAAGGGGAAGTGAAGGGAGGAGGGTGTGATAGAATCCAGCGACAACTGAAGAAACCGGGCTCTGGCCAGAGAAGTGAGCCGAGGAGGGCGGAAAAGGGCCCATTTATCTTTGTACTCATGGCTTACTTCATGGAATGTTTAAGGAATCCCTCTCTCGGGAGATACCTGAGCCTTCGGATGCAGGGGACTCCATGACTTTGGGGCACTGATGAGACCTACTTGAGTAACGGGAGAGGTT